AATTCTAATAATAAAATATATCAATTGTAGATAGACCCACCACTGGGTTATCTTCTAAAAAAGCATCGCTGAAAAGAACTATCATCGCAACAGGTCACAAAAGTATAAAGTTCTGGTTGTGGTCCAAAAATAAGAGAAAAACAAGGCCTATGTCTAAGATTATTATACAGAAATGAACCAAATAAATAAAACTCGTAAATAATAAGTTCTACATTACAAGAGAGATTAGGATAAAAATCGCAAGAGCCAAATCTACCTTTGAAGAAGAGAATACTTTTGAAGCTGAGGAACTAACTTATAAAATGCCCTATTTGGAGATTCTGAAAAAAGCCAACAAAAACTAACTTGAGAGTTTCAAATTGAAGTGCTGGAAGAATGAAGATGGTAAAATACACCTAAAAGATAACCAATTATTTTTTTTTATTTCTTATAAATATAATCAGAGGATCTCAATATATATCAATTAAAAAAGTGTCACAACAAGCCCCTACTTCTCCTACTGTAAAAAGTTTAGAGTAGACGACTCTAGGATTGTGAAAAGGGACTCTTCTTGGTACCAGAGTGCCTTCTGCAGAATGTCATTGATGGAAAAAAGGCTGAAATGATGATGGAAAATGTAGGATACTGGATGTCTAACAGGCCCTCACATGAAAGCAGACTTTAATTGTTATTATAAACAAATAAAAGTGATAAATAAAATGTGATACTCTCAAATGTGATCTGGAGAGTATTGAAATGTGGTGCTGAAGGCGAAAAGACAAGATAAAGTGGACTGACAAGATAACAAATGTAGATGTCCTAAAAAAAGTGGGCGAAGAAAGGACTCTACTGAGCACGATCCTGAAACGAAAAGGAAACTGGATCGAACCCATTCTGCAAAAAGAGCGCCTTCTACACGACGTTATCGAAGACAAAATAGAAAGACTGAAGGATTGTGAATAAGAAGAATGCAGATGGTTTATTATAGAGAACTGAAAGCCGAAGTACAGGACCAGGAAGCACGAAAGCAGAAGTTTGGTAAGAAAAATTCATAAAAGCGAATATGAATGATTAATGGTCATTAATTGATAGTAATAAAACGGTAAGGGTAATAATAAACAAGGGAGGCGAAGAAAACCATAGATTTTGTGGTGCTCTCATACCATGGACCTGCCTTCGGGCAGACTACTATTTATTACCATGGACTACTAATAATCAAAATACAACAAAGGGCAATAGCATCAAGTTCTAGATTTAGTATTCACAATATCACCTTTCTTCTCTGGCCAAAACGGCGTAGTCGCACACAAAGCCGCCAATAAAATTTGCCATAAAATATTCGCAACGCTTGTAAATAATAAGGGCTGGTGTTATAAGTCTTACTTTTCTCAGGTGAGAGTCTGTTAAGTTTTCGGCGGTGTTGTTATTTACGATCGCGCACATCATTTTTCATAACGGCGCGCTAAGTCCTGAGATCCGCTATTTTTTGAAATATACAAATCACTCGGTGGTGTCACGAGAGGTAAAAATAAACTTAAGGGATGATGGAAGAAAAATTATTAGAGTAATATCCAAACTATTCGTAAATTTTGCAGTTTTAAAATAAAATTCAAAATATTTTGATCAAGAAACACCCGGAACAAAATTTAGAAAGGATAGGATAACTGGGTTACATAAATGAAATTTTTGCCATGATTTATTAATAGTACATAAATAAAGTATGTAACTTTTCTACTTAAATAATTTTGAGAACTTGATATCACACGGCAAGTAAATACACTTAAGGGACGAATTATCAGTAATACACTTAAGGGATGAAATGTCGAGAAAATTCAGTTTGAATGAAAATGAAAAAAAACTTATGTTTGTTTAAGAAACGTGTAAAATTTGCTGTGTTTCTATTTTCTAGGTTATAAAATTATAGTAAAATGCACAATGGCATTTTATGCGATTAAGGAATCGAATGTTAGAATTTGTCAAAAAAATTCGGTAGGTCAAATTGGTGAACTTTTGAAGAATTTGAAAGGTCATAATAGAAATTGACTTCTAGACTTAAAAATTGATAAAGATATTCCATTTCTGGTAAAACAAGGTTAAAAATATCTCAAGGATGAAATATCAACATTTGGTAAG